CCTAAAATAACATTTTGATAGATTAATTAAAACTTTGAAGTATAAATTAGAGGGCATAACTGTAGATTTTCTAACTATCTCACCTACAAGCTATTCAAAGTCTTAAAGAGTTTATAATATATTTTTCATCCGAACAACAAAAACATGTTAAATACATATATAAATGTGGGTTCAAACCGGCACCACATTTGTCGAAGTTATGCCTTCACAGACATTCTCGTAAATAAAATACCTATTTGATTTATTTATTTATTTTTTAAAAGAACAAATCGTGCATGCATCAGCACATGTAGAGAGTCTAGTATAACATAGACAGGTTTAAAACTAAAAGGATTCAGCAAGTGGCCCAGCGGTGAGGGCGCGGCCTGGGGCTCCCCAATAAACAAAAAAATGTGGGAGGACGTTGGTTTGATGCTCTGAGCTGGTGAGTTTGCTTGAATGTGGTCATGGGCAGGGTGAAATTCCCAATAGCCTATTCGGGGCCAGAAGAGTTGGATAATCATGACTTGCCACCAACCGTTCCCTTTTTTATATTAAAAAAAAAAAAAAAACTTTTTAGTGACCCTTGAATCAATAGCATAGATTAGGGGAGCATTAGACGAGCCGGGGCAAATGGGGCTAAATCAGTTGGGGCCGAGGCTTTGAACCTTAACTCACCCTTACCCATCAACCTAACAGGCCCAATAGATTAGGCCTAGAGTAAAGGTTAGGGCCGGGATTTGACCCTTCAAGCCTCTTTATCCAATCTTTTTATTAAGTCGGTATCCCATCCAAAACCTTTTGACCTTATATGTCATGCAGCTCGTGTACATCCCTCATGGTTCGAATTCGTCACACGCGTCACGCCATTGCGCTTCCACGACCTATCCATTTGGGGGACCACACAAGAAGAGCAGTAGCGCCCTGCTCCTATTGCCAAATGGCGGGCAAGCACAGGGTCCAACACGACGTCGCTCACACGTAAGATTGACTCTATCCAAAAGCCCCCAAGAGTCGGCGATGCTAAAGTAGAAGGATAGCGACCTTGGTCTCACATGGCATATGCTATCGTGCGCCCAAGGCCTTCTGTTTCCCTCTGCGGAAGCTTCGCCCCCCATCTTCTTCTTCCTTCTTAGATTCTTCGATCGATTTTTTTGTCTGAAAATTTGAATTATCGAGTTCTGAGGAGATCAGAAATGGTTCCAACGGTGATGGCGGAGCCCTGATGTGCTCGGCAGTTGAATAGCCATGGCCTTCTCTGCCGCCGCCGCCGGCTCCAATCTCCGGACCTCCTCTTCTCAACCCTACTGCAAGGTACTCTCTCTCTCTCTCTCTCTCTCTCTCTCTCTCTCTAGGTTTGAATAACTGCTGCATCTTGTGTTTGGTTTCCGAGAAAATAGAAGAAAGTATGGAAATTAGGGGGAGAATAAAATTTTGGCATGTACTGTGTAAGCTGACTAATCGTATGCTGTTAATTAGATTCAATCAATGTGCTAATCTAGGGTTTATAAGTTTTGTTTCAGATATTCTTTTTAGGGCACCCAGGTGAAATTTGTTGAAATCTGGTAGCATTTTGCAGAATTGTAAGATTGCAGGGATTGATGTTAATGTGGATAAAGTCGAATTATTTAGAATTTCATGTGATTTTGTCGCTTGGGTCTAATTTTGTTTTGGGATTTGTTGCATTGCCATGCTGTTTGATTTCGATTTTGCGCATTTCATTGCATATAATTTTTCGTAGAACCGATAATAACACAATCGTTTACGAATTTTGATTGTAAATGCTGCTTGTAATTTTGGCTTTGGTTTCTAATCGAACAAGTATTTACTTATATGGGTACAACATTTCTGCAGTTGTGCTCGCTTAGATTCAGCACAAAGCAGAACAAAGTAGCTTTTAGAGCTACCACGGAAAGGAAAGGCTCTTCCTTGAGGGTTGTTCGATCAGTCTTGAATAACAGGAAGTCGAGCATTAGTGGCAATGGAGCTTCTGAACCTGCAAGGATTCTTCTTGAGAGGTTGTTTGCACAGACACAGAAACTGGAAGAGCAGATGAACAGAAATTCTCGTCATCCTCAGGATGTCCAGCTAGGATTTAACCTTGAAATCCTTGAGTCTGATCTTCACGCTGCATTGGCAGCACTAAAGAAGAAGGAAGAAGATTTGCAGGATGCCGAAAGAAAAGTTTTCTTTGAGCACTGTGCATTGCACCGCACAAAGGAGGAGCTGGAGCAACGGGAGAAAGAAATTGCTGCAGCTTCTTGCAGGTATGAAAAAATAGGGGAGGAATTGAAGCAGGCTAATCTTCGCTTATCTTCTCAGGCCTGGCATATAGAGGACCTAAAGCTTCAGCTTAGAGAGAGAGATCAGGAAAATGCGGCTGCACAGTTGGCACTTTCTTTGAAAGAAGAGGAATTGGAACAAATGAGAAATGAATTGCTGAAAAAGAGTGAAGAAGCTGCTAAGTCCAAGTCTGAACTTGAATCCAAGGCTCACCTGCTGAATGAAGCCAATGAAGTTGTCAAAAAACAAGAAGTTGAGATTCAAGGACTTCGGAAATCTCTGCATGAGAAAGAAGCAGAATTGGAAGTTTTTCAAATGCAGAGGAAGCATGAAGCGGAGAAACTAAAAGTTGCAGAGGACAAATTGGAGAAGCGGACAATGGAGTGGTTATTGGCACAGGAAGAACTTAACAAATTAGCAGAGGAAGCATCCAGACACGCACGAGAAACTAATGAAACTTTAGAGGATTTCAGAAGAGTGAAGAAAGTTCTTGCCGACGTGAGGTCAGAGTTGGTTTCATCTCAGAAATCTCTGGCATCTTCTAGACAGAAAATGGAAGATCAAGAGAAGCTTTTGGAAAACCAATGGGAAGAACTTGAACAACAGAAGGGAAGCATTACGTCTTACTTAACAACTCTGAAAGATGCCCAAATAGAATTACAGAGTGAAAGATCAAAGCTTAGGATTGCAGAGGCTCAAAAGAGTGCGCTTGAACGTGACTTATCCATGGAAAAGGAGCTTATGGAAGATTTACAGGAGGTGTTGAAGAAAGAGAGGTACTCTCTGCATCAGGCTATCAATGGGATTTCTTCTCTCCAAAATAAGCTAGACAAGAAAAACGCTGAATTTGGGAAAATGCGCAATCTTCTGCAGGATAAAGAGTCGGAAATGGTGGAGGCTAAGCTCGCAATTCAGCATTTGAAATCTGAGCGGGATACCTTACAGGTTATTTTGGATGAGAAGGATTTGGAGCTTTTGAATGCAAGGAATAAGCTTGAGGAAGTAAATAATGAAGTTGCAGAGCTAAAGATGCTACTGAACAGTAAAGAGGACCAGCTTATTCAAGCAACTACTCTGCTCAAGGAGAAAGACGAACATGTAAACATGATGCAAAATGAGTTGAACGATACAAAGCTCAAATATTCAGAAGCTGAAACTGTGGTAGAACGGATTGTAGAACTTTCTAACAAGTTGGTTATATCCATCAAGGATGATGAGTCGCTTGATGACATGAGCTACGAGTTACTGCAGCAACTATGGGAGAAACCAGCTGATGATCGTTTTGGGTTGCAAATAAAACAGCTTCAAACAGAGCTTGAATCAGCAAGGGACAGCTTAAGAATAAAAGAAATGGAAGTTCTAGCTTCTCAGAGGGACCTTACGCTCAAAGACGAGGAGCTTAAGATGGTTCTCGGGAGACTAGAAACAAAAGAAAAAGAAGTAAAGCAATTGAAAGAAGAGGTAGAAGACGCTAATGATCTGAGAAAGCTATATGCATTGGCGCAAGAGAGACTGGGGGAGAAGACCTTTGGAGACTTGGCAATCGAGAAGCTTCAACTTGAGGCAGCCCAACTAGAAGTTGAAGCTGCAACCAGTGCACTCCACAAACTTACAGAAATGAGTGGGGAACTTTTACACAATGCCAGCTTGAGCATTGAGGCCAACGGAAGTATATTCTTTCCAAATGGTTACGATCCTAGCATAAGTATGGTGGAGAACAATGAATGTTTAACTGAGGTGACAGCGGAAGTTGCCCGGATTTCGGCTTTGACTGATAAGCTTGTGAAAGAGGCTGGTGTTGTAAGTGCAGGGCCTGCTGCAGGTCAGTAAGGGTAATTTATGAGCTGGTGAGCTTATATCGTGTACAGATATGCCACTGATCTAATGTCCTAGAATTGGTGAAGTAATTGTCTGCAGTACTCACCATAAGGCATCTAATATGCAGATGCCAAACCTATATAAACGTTGTACAATGTGTGATTCATAAGTGATTAATGGTGTTTTTAGTTCGTAAATATTGTGTACTTTAACCTTTTTATCTGTTTTCACCTCCTTGCGTTGGACACAGCTTGGCTTCTTTCTGCGAACCGCAGTTTGACGTATGCAGGAGAACAACCTACGGAACATGGCTACGCTGTCACATTATGTCCCATGCCAAAGAAACAAAGATATATGGCAAAGAATCTTACAAATGTCGCAGGAACGCTACCGTGGCGGTATATATGTGCCATGTAAGTCCTCTCTCCTTGTTAGATCAGGGTGTAGCTAAGTTTGGCTAAAAATAATGTACTTAAAAGATAAAGATGACCATATATTCCTATTTTCTTTGTTTACGTTCGATTCCGTTGTGCTACAACTTGATTTTCTTGTACTTGAAGTTATTTTCACATGGAGATTTCGTGGAGAACATTAAGGGAGTGAGACCTAAGATAATTGAAGGTCCCATGTTTACATGTGATTTATGTTTTGTTTCTCAATTAACGAGTGAAGAGAACAAAGAGTGAAATGCGTGTTAAGGCAAGACTCTCATAGCCAACCAAAAACCACATGGCAAGCATCTATTGGATAGGCGACGCACTTTTGGACACATAACAAACACCTTGGGACGGTGATGCCACTAAAGCCACAGAAAGCTACGTCCCAATTGCAAGAGAAACTCTCTGGCTCGATTGTCAGGTTGCCTTCACCGGTTTCCCGGAAATAATCTCCATACGGTAGAGATGATCAACACAAATGAGTCAATTAAAATATATACATTTATATATACATATAGAGCGAATATGTTTGCCCTAAATTCGACAGTGGTCCGGTTTGTAACGCCGTTCTCCAGCTTAAGTTAAAGAGTAAAATGCCCTAGTGATACCCAACAAACTAGTTACAGCATATATGCATGGTTGAACTTAAAACTAGTTCTGGGCAGATGAACTGTGCATGAAACTACCGAGCAGGACCGGTGGTAACACCTTCTCTGAAAAGGATATTTTTCATATTAGGAGGAATCCATGCCGGGTTTCCAGAATTCTGACCATCGGTATGCTGAATCTCATTCGGTGTAGCACCGCTTTGTTGTTTCTTCACCCTGGACCTCCCCACCTTTGTTCCAACAAAAATGCCTAGCTTCATGGCTGTAAATATGCCCAATGCAACCAGAAGTGGCCTCACTGCCCAATGAAAATCCTCAAGATGCTGGTACTTCTTCACTATTCCTGGACAAGTATCAAACGTAACCAATTCCACTTCAGCAGGATCAGCTACAAAGGTTGAGTTCTCTTCCCCAAAGGTCAGCATTCCCGGGAACTTGACCACAAGGCACCCATTTGGTAGGATCCACGTTATTTTCCCGGTGGCCCACGCCCCTTTCCTCTTACGGGGCCATTCAAATCGAGGGCTCAATACATTAGCTTTCAGCTTGACAAACTCACCCACACAGTAGGACTCTGCCATCTGAAACTCTGAAGAATTTCCCTTCCAGAGAGTTTCCAGCCCTATAAATCCAACAGCTACATTACCATCACGATTGATGGAATGAAGAATACCTACTGGTGAGTGTTTCTTGTCTTCCTTCTTCAAGCGTACCCAATCACCAGCTGCCAAGCCAAAAGTGACCCGCTCCAGTGTTGAAACATGAACCCTCAGTGGGTCATGGATGCCATGGACTCTCACCAAAACAAACCCATCTTGATCTGCGTCATGTTCGACACCCACTACTGTGCCTTCTGGAATATGCATGTTTTCAGGTTTGCAGCAGTTTGGTGGCTTTCTGGAACGCACCGTGTCACCCACTTGCAGTTGATCCTTTGAAAGGAACCACTCAGTGTAACCAATGCTACTCGATTTTTCCTTGATTGTTCTTATCCCAAGACCTGTCCAGTCTCCATCACTGGAGATTGTACTCTGCAAGCTGCTAGTGTGGTAGCAGTTAATATCAAATATGTAAAAGTGGTGAACGGAACTTCTCTTTATGCAATGGTTTCTTTAAAACACAACTGAGCAGAGATAACGCTACATGCAACTTCTCATATCAATTATGAAAATTGAAATGTTGCCATCAGTCGGAAACTACTGTTGTAAAATGTTTTTTTTTTTTTTCTTTCCAATTTTTACTTCCTATACAATTACAGTAAGTAGTTCATAAGGTAAAATTGCTTCCACAACCATGTAATAATCACATCATAACTACTTAAATTAAGCAATGATATCTATTGGAGAATAGGATCCCACATTGGGCATATGACAACAAGAAAAAAAAAAAAATGCAATTAATATATTGGAGATTCCACCCCTAATATCACTGAGGCCTTTTATGATAAACCCCACACCTAATGCTAGATGATTAAGTGGGGACAATATCGATGATATTGGTGGTGGACCATGCTGGGCCTATAAAGTTTATCAATATCAAAAAGCTTGAATAGTTTAATCTGACTTGCCACAAGAACCATCAAGATTTTGTTTGTACTTTGTAAAATGCAAGCGTATTATCTAGATGAGGATGCTGTTTATGGTGGACCTAAAAGATTGCTTATACTGAGAAAAGGTGTCTAAGTTTACAGAAGTATTGATCCTACACTAGACATAATGAAGTGACCTGCTTCTTATGCATTAATTCTTATTTGGGTTAGTAAGAAGAATGACATTATTATATGAAAAGAAGAGGAACTCCTCTTCTCAAAGACTCAGAACAAAATTATAAACATAGTAGAGGAACCATACCTTTTGAATAATGTCAATATGTCCGTTATTAAAGGGCGACTCCTCAAATCGTACTCAAAGCAACCAAGAAGAATATTCTCTATTGCAGGAGGAAGGCCACTTGGTATGTCTGGTTTTTCTTGCTTCCCAACAACTAAATAAGATATTTCATCAACAGATTTTCCGCCCCAAGGACGGACACCAGTCAACATTTCCGCAATGCTGCACCCAAAACCCCACGAGTCGGTCTCAAAAGATATTGGACCTCTTACTTCTGGTTGCCATTGTTCAGGTGCCATGTAGTTTGGGGTTCCAATCCTCCGAGTCATATCTGAGCTTATCAATGGTACGCCAAGCAATAGATAAGGAATACCAAAATCACCAAGAATTGCTTGGTCCTTTTCATTCAGAAGAACATTTGAAGGTTTAAGATTAAGAACCAAGATGCCCTTGGAGTGTAGTTCAAGAATCCCCGCAGCCAAACCAATCCCATACCTGTAAGTTGTAACCAATAGCACAAGTAAAAACCGAGCACCAAAATCTTTGGGAAATAATAAAATTAAGCATTGCTAGTGGTCTAATCAGGACCCAACTAACCTCAAAACATCAGGAAGTGAGAGCTTCCCTCCTCTGAGTTGTGCCATTTTGTCACCGACGGATCCCTCATATAATCTCATGATGATGCATATCTGAGTGCACAAAATCCAATTGCTTTTAGCAAGCTAGAAATCATACAGGCAGGACCGAAATCTCCTTATAGTGCATGAAATACAAAAAAGCGACTCACCTTTCCATTGATGATTGAAGTTCCATATAGCCAACAAACACCGCCAACTCCTTGACATTTGTGAAAAATATCTTTGAGTTTATCCAACACAGTCCTCATGTTGTCTTCTTTGATTGGATGGAACATCTTGATAGCCACCTCATGATACTCATCATAATCTTCTGTTGACTGATGATGGGTTGCTAACCAAACATCACCAAAGGGTCCCCTCCCAATTCTGTGTCTAAGTTTCAATTTTACAGGTTCAATCCAAGGACTTGTCTGTTCTGAAGAGGCTCCAACAGTTCTCAGGCCATCAGAATCACGATCTAAAATCTCGTACTCAAATGAAGCAGACGGTTGGTTAGCAACAACTTGTTTAGCCATTTCTCGACCTGAAGACAATGCAAAATATTGCATAGACGTCACCATCACCAATAAAAATTAACACAAAATCATATAAATACATAAATACACAAAAACTCCTATGATCTTCTCATCGCAAGACAACAGAGAGTTTTTGTAAACAGAACTATGCCACTGATTCACTGAACCAAGGGCGAAGTAGCACACTCAGATGTTGCAAACTACAACAGCGTATGTTAATCAAATTATTTGGGACTATATCAGGTCCCTTCTTCTTTCTTTCTTCATCTAGCCTACATCGATAGAGGGCTCATGTTCAAAGGGACTACAAATGAACCGAATGCGAACGAAAATACACGCAATAGTTGCACATACAAAGCAATTCAAACGCAGAAGAAATCAAAGGAAATGGGATGCATAAAACATATGATCACCGAAGTTGTATTTAGGATTTTCATAACCAGAAAACCCAGAGAGCTAAAATCCTCACACTTCATAACTGAGCATTAATCAGTTGTTTTCCTTCATCTGTTCTTTTGACCAAAAAAGCATCAAACTTTATCTCCCTTCAGATTCTTCAATTTCCCAGAAACCAGACCGACTCTGTTTGGTTACTGGGAAAATTTAACTTCGCCGATTCACCTTTTCACAATTTTTTGGTAACCCATTAACGCAAAAGTTAATTGGGTTCCACCGATTCGATCATTCCCATGACAAACTAATCAAACAAGAGGCATATAGCAAAATGAAAAAATTTCAACGGAACAAACAGAGACTAAAAGCTAAAAAGAATACCATAAATCCAAAAAAAGAAAAGAAACGAAGAATTAATGGAGACTAATAAATACTCACCGAAACTTGGTGATGAGCTCCAGATGAGTTTGATATTTCGACGAATTTAGAGTGGAATTTACATACGTAACACTCTCTCAGTCTGAGAGAGAGGTCTGGAATCTGAGAGAGCTTCAGAGAGAATAAAAGAGAGAGAGAGAGTAATAATAGTATATACAACAAACGAAATGAGAACTACTTCAAGTCTCAAAACTCCTAGTTGGGCTAGAATCGGTGAAGCTGCTGGGCCCCCTCTTAATTCTCTTTTATTATCCTTTTCCTTTTTCTTTGCCTTTTGCTTTTCCGGTTTGATTCTAAGTAAAATTCCCAACAAACGAGATAAAAGAGCAGTCAGTACTCACGAAAGCAATTTACATAGAATAAGTTTATTATCGGATAATATTTTATGTAGTGTAAAAACAATTTACATGTAAAACTAAGTTATTAAAATAAAATAATAAAGTAGCATAAAACCAATTCCATGTAAGTACTTTACTCAAAGATTTGTCTTTATTAATCCAGACTATTATATAATCTGATTTATATCAATTAGATTGATAAGTAAGTAAAAATAATATTTTCACAATTAAATCTTAACCGTTTATTTTCAGTGCAATTGCGATTGTGCCTTTTGCTGCACGCAAAAGAAGTTTTGACCAATTTTGTTATTCAATCAATCTTGAAGTTGCGGGAAAGAAGCGGAGGAGGAGTTTAAGAAGCAACTAATCACATTCAATTATTGGACGTTGCATTCAGATACAAGATGACGGCAAGAAAATAAAAGATAAAAAATATTAAAAGCGAGGAAGAATTGTTGTTCGTTGGATTGTTTCGTTGGGATACACCTGTCCCACTTGTATTTTAATAAACGGTGCTGATGACTGATGGGTAAATTAGTTGTCAGACAAGGGTAAACCTTTGGAAGGGACAATAATGGTGAAAATGTTACTTTCATTTCCTTCTTCCATGCCTTATTATAATTTGATTAAATAAAGAGAAGTGTTATTGACATTTCAAAATTTTCATTCTATATTTTTCATAAGTGTATTTTTCTTTATAAATATAGAAAATTTGAAGTGTAGAATGAGAATTTTGAAGTGCTGATAACAATTTTCTGAATAAATACGAAAATACTTTATATTTTTGTAAATGTAATTTACCCATTTGTCTATTTAACTACCAACCATACATATGTATACACGTGGCATATGTGCAACTGTATTATTGTATAGGGTTTACGTGCAAAACAAGATGGTTAAAACTTGTTAGTGTTGTGATTGAACACAACTGTGTGATGTTGTTGGGTAAATCTGTCGCATTACACATGCGTGATGACAAGGATAATTTTTTATTTTTAACTTTAAAAGAAGATAACTGATGGTAAACTAGGGTTATTTACTTATTATGGGGAAGACTCACACAGACATTTCAACCTTCCTCTGACTATAAGTCTGACTTCCACACGTTGGCAGGATAATTAATGTTTGTCACTCGATGCAACTCGGGTTCACGTTCACCTCGTCATTTTGATTAATTAAAATACTACTACTTTAATCTAGTCTACATTAAAGGAATAGATGAAATTTGTATCTCGAATAGTGACTTGAAGAAGAATACTACATCTATCAGAGCAGAGCAATTCATCACTTGTCATGACAATAAATATATTTCTAGGCTTATTGTGCGCCTTATTTATATTCAATAAATAAGATTTTGACATGTGCACAACGACGCATCGGTGAATAGATAGAGGGAAAGCTGAATTTTCTATGATTAAGTTTGTCTTGATACAAGCGGTAATAAAAGAACAACTGCAAATCACGTGCAGCAATAAAATCCAAAGGTACATATTGCCCTTGTACCGAAGCCCTGTTCCTTTGGGCTTAAGAAAACGTTGAAACCCATAGTGATGCATCTTTGCTTAATTTTGGGCCCAATGAATAATATTATTTTCATGTACCAAATTACACATTATGCATGTATCTCTTATGTGCATAGTATTCACAGGTATCGGAATAACAAAAATTTTATGATGCTTCGATGTAAGGGATATTCCGAATCTTTTAAAAATTAGATTCTTAAATTTTTTTTTTTAACGATTAATATCCCTAAGTATCCGATCTTCTAGAGCACCATAAAAAATCACCTTGAAACAATTTCAATATTAGCATTTAGGTAAACAAAACTACCACTAATTTCTTAAAATGGACAATGGGAAAGGTGCAAGGAGTAGAGCTGACGGGTGAGTAACACATAAGAACATGCCCTTGGGAGGGAAACAACAGCTGAAAACGGCTGCTAATACCCGGTAGGCTAAGGAGGAAAAGGAGGAATCCGTCGGATAAAAAAATTTAAGGTAGCAAACATTCTCTAGAATTTCTCTTAGATTCGAACACACAGCTGACAATACGAGCTGCAAGGTACATTCGCCAAATTTTAAAGAGTGGTTCTATCACTCACTGCTCTATTCTGCTCACCTAACACATCCAACCTGAGACTTACTTATATGGATCGGGTTCACTGCCACCGAAAATCCTCTCCAACACTGTACGAATCCCATGAATCCTTTCGTCCCTCGGTTATTCAAATTACACATCCACCACATATTGAACCAGAACAAGAAAAAACACAGTAATTTCATTCATTTAACATACAAATATTATTATTACAATTATATAGTCATAGACACAGCAATCCGATTTCCCATTTGCCCCCATTCCAATTCACACCTTACGCGAAAAACAAACCCAAGAAACTCAAAGAGGAAGGACCTTCTTCACAATCTGGTCACTGAGATTGGCAATCTGTGAGTCAAGCGACTTCATGGTCTCCTCCTTCTGCTCCTCCAACTTCGCCAACGCCTCCTGCAGCTCCGCCTCCACCTTCTTCCTCCCCTCCGCCAACTTCTGCTCCACCTCCCCCTGCGTCTCCTTCTTCATCTTCGTCAGTGCCGCGGATATCTCCGCCCTCGCCGCCCTCATGATGGCGATGCCTTGCTCCTCAAGCTGCTTCACCTCCTCCGACGTGTCCTTCACGCTCCCCAGCTTCTCCCTGATGGCCGCGTCCCTCTCGTCCATGAACTTCCCCAGTGGGCTGTAGTAGAGCTTGTCAAGCGCCACCATCAGCAGCAGGAACTGCACCATCTGGATGGGGAGGGTCAGGTCGAAGTCGAACAGGGCCGCCTTCTCGAATTCCTCCGCCAGGGACGGTGGCGCCAATGCGAGCGAGGCGGCCGCGATGGCGGAGAGGGAGGAGGATAGGGATACCAATTGGGGCTTTGTGAGCTTTGGGAGGTTTGCTGGCATTTTGGGGATGGAGATTTGGAGTGGGATTCTGGGTTTTGGGATTGGGGTAGAAGGGGAGGAGGAGATGGGGACTTTGGACGAAGCCATGATCATGTTGGCCATGGCGGAGGGCTCTGCTGGTTTCTGTGCTGTTCTCTGGATTTTTGGGATTTTGAGAATTCTTTGGGATTTTTGGATTTGGGGATTTGAGGGGTTGTGAATTTGTGAGGGTAAATCTTTGGGGAGAGGGCTATCTCAATTCCTTGCCACACATTTATGAGGATTTTATGGATTCAAAGGGGGAAAGGAGTTTGTGGTGAGTGATGAGTGGTACTGTGACAGTCCCACATGAGGACCCAAAAAGTTGGCACCTTGGCTACAAATATAAAATAGCCCATCATCCAAACCTAGTCCAGGCCCAAGTAGGTTTTGAATCCCAAGTATGGAGAAATTGGAGTCAATGTGAAAAACAACTTACATGCACTTGAAATATCACAGTGACGACATTGTAAGTCAAATCACACTTATTTATGGGAAAGCAAAAACACATAACAGTGCGTGATTAATTTTAAGTTGTGTGACTATGGTATCCCTGGTGCAGGTAAGTTTCTCTCGTCACGAAGCTTCGAAAAGAAAATCCCTCTTTATGTACATTGACTTGGCTCCAAAATCTTTACAGCTACACTTTTCAGGTGTTGAGAATTGGAGCAGTAGAAAATGAAATTTATATAAGCGGGCAAATGACTAGAGTGTAAGGCCATATGTACTTTTAATCATACTATCTAATCAATTTAGGCCCGTAGGGATAGAAACCATACTGTAGCGCTAATCTGTTCTCCAGGTATCCCTTCTACCATACCGTTTTTCGTGTTTTTCGAAACAAAACCCGAATATCTTCCTAAACCCAAGCAACAACCCACTGGCTATGCTTGGCGCACAAGTTCTTTTAGATGTTGTTCCAACAGCTGACAGTTTGGAGTATGGAAACCATTCTCCCAATAAGAAGGGCAGCCTGCTCTCATTGTGTTGGATAGAAACTTCGTCATCACAATGCGGGGACTTTGGATTCTTGATGTCATCAGAATCATAACATACCTCGTCATTCTGTTCTACGTCTTTGCCATTCTCTTCTTTCTCAATGTCAGTCGGGTCTTCCTCTTGAAAGCTCAATGATCGCGACAATGACCTGCACATATTGAATTGACAAGTACACAGCACAATTGAAAAATAAAAGACCAGCAGAGAAACGCGGTTAAGAAGCAGGGCCTGGCAACAATGGTTCTTATTATCTGTGTAGGGAACTGCAGAAATTTCATGTTTTTGTGCTAAAAATTCTTGTAAAAGAGAAATGGCAATAGGGAGAGCCTCACATCGTGTTTTGTTTTAAAGCAAGGAACCCTTTCTTTGATGATTGGCTCTTTGTCATGCTGTAGTTGATTGAAACATGCCGGACAAAATGCAGCTGCACATACCAAACAACACCAGTTGACATACATGAAGACAACACAATGTTACCACACCAAGCATAATAGTAGCCAACCGGATAAATGATCAATTTCAGAAACTCAAGGGATCTGCCGCATACCTGATCACCGTCTTTGATGCCATAAAGTTTGATATGATCAGTTTCAACAAGTAGCTTCTGATTATCGTAGCACAAGCAGAAATGACCCCACACATGTGGCCTCCATGAACCATATTTAAATAAGGAACATCGTTAATGATACGAATACGGCTGTGTAATGAAATTACCAACTCAAAAGTATAAAAACTGCTAAGCTTCACATCTGAATGCTAACAAAGATAAATTTCTGTGATTATATGGTTTTGCAGCTTTTGCTTCTCGTCCCAAATATTTAAATAGATGAAGTGAACATACCATGAAATTTTTCCTGGTCCCCTCTGTGGCATGTGACTGAAAACAGCCTCGACTGCCTGCTTTAATTCCAAAATAGTGGCTGTCATGGAAACTTGAATATCTGTGAAAGGGAAGATTTTAGTTCATGGAACTCGCCAGGAAAAAAAAAAAGGAAAGAAAGAAAAACATCTCGATTCATGCAATTCTCAACCAGAAAAACAAATAAAGGAACCTTAAGAACAATGTACATATAATGAATTAGATATGAAGAAATCAAATCAAATCAAATCAATCATACATTGGCCCTGAAATTTTGTGCGGCGCAAATTTGTCTTTCAAAACCAAGGGAACCTTAAGAACAATGTACATAAAATGACCTCCTACATTCTCAAAATTTTCTCAGCAACCAAGCAGGCAGCAACGGGATTAACCATCGTGACAGAGAATTACAAACATGCCTAGAAAATGAAATTAGAAATTAATAGGCGCAATGCACAACAGCAACGGGAAAATTTCAAATTCCTTCCTAGGATTAGAATCAAATTGTAACTCAGAAGAGAAAATACCAAAAAATTTAGTCAGTTTTCCAAAACTTTCTCAGCAACCAAACAAGCCACCAACAATGCACCATAGATTTTCAGAAACGAGAAGAGAGAGAGAGAGAGTACCGAAGCAAGAGCCATCCAATTTGAGAACGGAGAGCCGGAGAGGCTCCTGAGGAAGCGCGGAGTACGACAAGCTCTTGCGGGAGAAGCCATCGACGAGCAGCAACGGCACAAACGGCAGAGAATTGGAGCGACGAGGCCGTTCTATCGACGACCGCCCAACTGGGACAAAATCATCATCGTCAATTCTCAATGCGCTATACGACATAATAGCTCTACGAATTTCTCCCGGACAAACCCCTCAACCATCGCCTTATACACACAAAAAAAGGAGCTCCAAATTCACTAAAAAAGGACTCAAAAGTTATAAGAAAAATAAAGAGGGATTAGATTCTTAGGGAAGAAGAACACGCATTGTAAGATTAGGGTTTCGGAGCTTCTGTCGGAGGCAATTCCAGACAGAGAGAGAGAGAGGGAGGAAGGAGAGGGAAAGCGAGCGAGAGGGAGATATTTCCCTCTACTTTTTTCTTTTTTCTTTTTTATTATTATTTTTTTTTTGTAACAACCAATACATCTATGATCTTAGACAACCAATACCTAAATGATCAAAAGATAATCCAACGGTCATCCTCTGCTGCCAGAATTTGAGGTGCACGAGTTCGATTCCGTAACAACTTTTGTTAAGACTAAGAATTACATGGAAAAAAACCTTACTTTTTCTCGGAATTGGTATTGTGTGTTGTGCCTTAACAGAAACACGAGCTTGGGCCACTCATTACTACGATTCGGTGATATTTCTTTTCATGTGAAAGTAAGAGATTTTAAGTTCAAATTTTGTGGATGTGGAATTCGATACCAAATTAGACTGCCTATTGTGATTTTGCCGAACTTCCTCTCCTTTAGTACAAAAATATCGATGTACTAATAAAAAAAACAAAACATGAGCTTGCATACACGCACAATTAATATAGTTCCAACAAAAAACTACGATCAACAGTATATATGAAACTACATTTTGCGTTTACCGTCGCTTCAAAATTTGAGCATATGTGGCCGAAATATTGGAAGAAGGAAATATTCATGGTATACAATAACAAAGCCCAAACAAACTACATCAGCAAGCAGCTTGCCAATGCCAAATTGTGCAGCCGTTGTTTCTAACACCTGCTGGTTGGTACAGAAGAATACATACACTCCGTTTCCAGTTAACGGTTAAACCCACCACTGGGCGGATGTCTCCGGTCTTAATACTGCACATCTCACTCCAAGAGCCTCATAATCGCAAAATCAAATTTGGTGGTGGTGTAAACAAGGGCAGCAACGAATCGTCTTCAGGTGAGAGAACTAGACATTTGTTGAATATGTTACTTCCCTATGAGCTTATAGTAGGCATACAACCCAGAGCCAATGAAACCGAGAGATTGACCGATAACATTCAACTACCAAATAAGAAAGTTAAAACGCGTCATTTTCTAAATCAAATAGTGAAAGAGTGATTTTATTAGAGCGGAGAATAGTTTGCACTTACAATATCAAATGGAAGGCCGCCGAATAGCATCCAGCCAAGTCCAACGGTAAAAAAATCCTATAGCAGTTTAGTGACCAGAAAATGTAAGAGATATGAAATGTTACGTTAATGAAGATATCTGTTCAATATCAGAGTCGCATATAAAAGCAATGTACCTTTCTTCATTTATTTTCTGAATTAAAGTAACTTTCATATCCATTTGATCCATTTATGACATTAAGAAAGCTCAATCGCCTTACATTTTCAAATTTCAAATTATTCACATGCATAAAAGTATGGCCACACCACCTGGAGAAATTCATAGAGGCTGCTAACTTATGTTGTTAATACATCTAAGAGACAGAAATATAGGCTACACAAACCTTCAAGTTACCGCAAATTGTCTGCGTAAGAGCTGAATTCAGAGTTGTGTTAAGGAATATGCTGTAATTCAAGAAGAAGGCTAGTATACAGGAACAAAGCAAGACCGCCTGCCAAAAGGAGGAAGAAAAATAGGAAACAACAGTGGATCTCAATCAAAACCACAGGAGTTACTTGGAAGTTGTATTTAAGTAATGCAAGAAGAATAGGCTTATTATACTTGAGTAATTGATGTCAATTGAATTCTATGAAATGCCAAAAAACCTGGAGGGAAGATGTAAAATGCTACATAGAGAAAACCTTGAAACTCATTCCGATGTTCTCAAAACTTAAACAAACATGATGCAACAATTGCAAGTCCAAACACGTCACTTCCACCATATATCAACTATATAACACTAATTCATGTAGGCCACATAGACAGCTGGGGGCGAAAAAATTCAATGAAGTTCTACATGAAACATGGAAGATTTATCTTGAGTTATCAAATAACAACATGAAATCAAATATCACGTTAGAACAATATTATACTCATGGAACCCACGAACCAAACTGCAGGTAACATTACTTTAAAAGAAAACTGGAAAATATCAATAAACTAAACCACCTTTCGACAACGATGCAATAAAAGGGAATAACTGTACCAATCAATAACATATTTAAATAAGTATAGCTTATAACTTATAAGCTACCAAGACACAAAGCCATGCAAAAAATACAGATAAAGAGCATTTCAGGAGTTGGAAGCCCGCTTTTGGACTCTTAAGTGTGTATGCATTAGCAGAGAAGAGTGGCATTGGTGAAGAATGTACCATAAAACCAGGTGAAAGAAGATGAGGAAACTCGATTGTTGTCTTCAAGTCACCACTAATAAAAGTCAAAAACAGCAAAATCGGTCCGCATGTGAATC